GGTCAAATGTCACTGTGTGTGCTGTGTGCATATATGTGTGACCATTAAAGAGGGTTTCATCATCCTATTTATCTTGAGTTAAAGCAGCAATAACTCACCATGAAAATACCAGAATGGCTCAGGAGGTAGAGTGATCTCAGGAGGTAGAGTGATCTCAGGAGGTAGAGTGATTGTCCACCAATCTGTAGATGTGGCTCCTAGTCCTGCAGTAAATATGTCTATGTGATAATACACAACCCCAAAAATCAACCCTATGTTGCTCTTGATTGCTAACTGTGTGTGAATGTTGGCAACCTTGTATGGCAAACTATGTTCCTCTATATTGATGGGTGAGTGCTGAGATGTATGTAAAACTGCTTTGAGTGGTGGCATAACTGGAAAAAGCACTATGTAAATGCGATCCATTGACATTTGCTTTTTCCTGGTGGTGTTTTTATGCTATTTATGCTAACGGTGTTCATTTGTAAAGATTATCTCTCACGCAATATTATCTGCAATAATCCAGAATCTAATGGAAGAAATCCCATTGGCTTTTTGTCTAGGGAACCAAGTGGATGATAACTTGCGTACCATGCTGTGAATGGATCTGGCCCTTCCTACATCCAGGACATGGTTAAACCATACACCCCAGCACGTGCACTCCGCTCTGCATCAGCCAAACGGCTCGCTGCACCCGCACTGCGAGGGGGACCCAAGTTCCCATCAGCAAAAACACGTGGGTTTGCTATCCTGGCTCCAAAATGGTGGAATGAGCTCCCCATTGACATCAGGACAGCAGAAAGCTTACACATCTTCCGGCGCAGACTGAAAACTCATCTCTTTCGACTCCACTTCGAGCGATATAATTACTATCAAAGCACTTATATACTAACAAAGGACTGGCTTATCTAAAGCCAGTTGAGTAGCACTTGAAATGTTCTGGCTCTATGAAACCTGATGTACTTATATGATTCTGTAGAGTACTGGAAATTACATATTTTGCAGATTACCTGAAGTTATTACATTACATTACATTACAAGTGCTACTCAACTGGCTTTAGATAAGCCAGTTGAGTAGCACTTGAAATGTAGAGTGGTTAAAACTAGTTTCTTGACTGGCTTAAAAAATGCAGTTTTGATACGTTAACTTCATGATCTTATTGTACGTAAATAAATTGGATACTTGATCTTTGAATATATCCATATGACATACACTTTGTCTCTATTTCTTCCATATGCCTGCTCCCTCTTTGTGTGTGCTCCATGATTGCGGTACATATGTTATCTCAGTGTGACAGCCCTGGCCTTGATCCTAGATGTTCCATGATGTACTCTATGGACAGCAGATCTTCAGAAAGCCTGACAAGATCATGTTCTGTCTTCTGGTGCTCACATGTTTATTGTTTTGGTGCACATGGGAGTAACTGAAGGTCACACGTGATATAATAGACCTGTAGTCTAAGCAGATTATCAAGAGTTGTTGCATGTTATCTCAATGTATAACCTTTCGTTTGATAGTAAGGGTCAACGTATTACCTTGTCACTGAGACCACTTGTATAATCGAGACCACTTGTATAATCGAGACCACTTGTATAATCCCTCTACGTTAGCTTCTTGTTTTTCTAAATGTTCCTGCTCCTTTTCCATGAAGCACGATCAAAACAAACATGTGGATTATTCATTTCCAATTACCAACTATCCCAGAGGATTCCTGAACTACATGACGCATTCTTTACTCGGTTCAAGGTTGTTGTTTTGAAGTTTTATCTCACATCTTTACATTTTATCTGCTCCTCTGAGGTAGATCTCATTGTAAACGATGGTATGGACCCAGTAGCCTGAGACTTTGGACCTTAAATAACATGTTTTCATTATGAGAGTTGACCAACCTCCATTCAGGAAGTAGGGGCGTGATATGGAGATACAAACTAATGACTTTATGGACTGCTGTCGTATTGTTTTAGAAAGTTTTACTCACCAATACACCTTATGTAAAAGAAGGTGATGAACATAGAATAAGTTACTTATCTAATTGCTCCATAAAAACATCAACGTTGTTATAACAGCCCCTGTTGACCTGGCTTCTTGTTTTATTTAAATATTGAACGTCTGCCAGAGTAGGTAGACTCGTTTTGGACTTCAAACACTTTGATTTGGAACATCTTATTTACTTTAGGGGGGTTTCTAGAAAATAAAAAGGTATATCATGACGGAAACTGCTTAGTATTTTGGGAGAAAAAGTCAAACGGTTGTAGGAAAAAGTCCACATAATTTTTACAGAAACAAGTCGTGGTATTATGAGAAATGGCATTATGGAAGAAAAAGTGAATCAAGATGCAAATGTCATGAGGTGTGACTGGATTGACTATTATTGTATCCTCTTTTAGTTTGTTGTGTTTTAATATATGATATTGGTATAGGATAATATAGGATATATTCATTTTCCATATTATTCACAATATTATTCTGCATAACATTTGGAACAAATTATACGTTGTTGTTTACGTCCGTGACGCCATCTTGTATACAGGCGTCATGTTCTCGCCATAATTGACGTCTGTGACCAAATCGGCCTTTTTCCATCTGGAACATTGCCAGACTCCGACCGTCACTCTCGGAGTCGGTTGCCGAAACCCTAGTCCATGCGTTTGTCACCTCCCGCTTGGACTACTGCAATGGTGTCCTGTTCGGGGTTCCCAACAAAACCCTGGACAGGCTCCAGTATGTTCAAAACTGTGCTGGGGACAGGGTGTCGTATTGTCATACTGATGTTCTGTACAAACTGTGAAGTCCACTGAGACAAATGTAACATTTGTGATATTGGGCTATATAAATAAACATTGATTGATTGATTGATGGCTGCTAGGGTACTCACACATACAAAGCCGTGGCAGCATATCAGGCCCCGGCTCCACGGGAACCCATACGGCAAAACGCATCGGGGTAACGCAAACGCAACCGCAAAAAACCTTCCGCCCACACGCAATATACACCGGATTGTGTCAAGCTCCACGAGACAGCTCCGTTTACATCCAACCGCTGGAAAAGCTGCAGTACATATGCCGAACCTGTACGTGGCGCTGTAACTTCCTCCACAAAAGCAGCAACTTCCTCCACAAAAGCAGCGAAGAAGAATGGTTGTCATGGCTGCACTTCTGTTTATTCTCCGCGGTGGGGGCGGAGGGAACCGCGCAGAGTTTTTCGCCGGTCAATGTGTGTTAAAGTTTAAATCTTCATGCTTCCTCATGCAGCAGCTGATCCAGTAAGTAAACCCGACAGTAAAAATAAACATATTTATAACTAGTTTAGGTAGTTTGAGAGGTAATTAAAATAGCTAAGGGTGGTGATCTGACTTGAAGTGTGTGTTTTGCTCCTCCCGCTGCATCACAGCCGGAGGAGCTGCGTGTCTCCGTCCTGTCAGATTAGACTTCACTCGCCTTTATGTCCATATCGAGATAAAGATAAATAATCTGAATTCAGTGTACAGTGTACTTTGACGCGGGGGTGGGCAGCAGAGGCGGGGAGAGGCGGGGCTATTGCGTCGTCATTATCAGAAACGGATGACCGTATAGGCGACCACACGGCCCCGTTGGACCCCCCAGAGCGCTCCGTTCCCAGATCTATCCACCTTTGGACCCGTTGTCGTTTGCGGGGTCTGTTTCTACGTTTCCGTTACGGCGTCGTCGAGCTTAAAGGGCTATACGCAAGAGAAATATGCGGATTCAACCCGTTTTCGTCCCCGTGGAGCCTAGGCCTCACTCCCACCCTCATCCACCTCCACTGGTTGCCGGGTCAAGTCCCGTATATCCTACAAAGTACTCCTCCTTACCTACAAGTCCCTCTATGCCCTTGCCCCCCAGTACCTATCGGACATCCTTCGCCCACATGCCCCACCCCGGAACCTGCGGTCCTCAGACTCTGGCCTGCTTACCACCCCCCGCACCAAACTGCGAACCTTCGGGGACAGAGCCTTCAGTGTGGCAGCCCCCACCCTCTGGAACGCTCTCCCTGCGGAGATCCGCAACATCCCCACACTCGACGCCTTCAAAAGGGCCCTCAAGACCCATCTGTTTGCTCAGGCCTTTGGCCCCTAATCTATCTGTTGTTTTGTCTGACTGACTGGTTGTCTGACTGCCTTTTGTTTTTGTTATGTTTGATTTGCCCCTGGTCTTCTTTGTAAAGCGACCTTGGGTCTCATGAAAGGCGCTATATAAATCCAAGCTATTATTATTATTATTATCTATTTTTTTCCTTCTTTACTTGCTTGTAAAGCGCTTTGAGCCCCAGGAAAAGCACTATATAAATAACATGTATTATTATTATTATTATTATTATTATTATTATTATTATTATTATTATTATTATTATTATTATTATTATTATTATTATTATTATTATTATTATTATTATCATTATTATTATTATTATTATTAATATTATTATTATTATTATTATTATTATTATTATTATTATTGTTATTATTATTATTATTATTATCTTATAAGATCAGCGCCACAGTACGCCCCATACTATATATTTTCTAGATAACCCCCTGAAAACATTTATTAAAATATTCACTACTATAATGTTAATGATGAGTTTCACAGTTAAGAGGCTTATTATGGAATAAGTCCAGTATCACGTCGTCAACATTTCCCATTTGTTGGTTCTAAATCTCTGACTTTACACTCAAGATATTTCAAATTCTTCCTCCCCTTCCCCCTCCTCAACCTTGAGTTTATGGCCCCCCAATTTCGGTCCCAGAAACCCAGTCTACGCCCCTGTCAGAGTAAGGAATGAAACTCACCTGATGTATACAAACACGGTCTCTCCTCCCTCTCTGAAAGGGTTAACTGGTAGTAAATCCATCTCCCCGGAGCTCCTCCTCCCAATTGTTGCTGCTGTTTGCCTCAGAAATCACACCACTCACCAGGTCCCGCCTCCCATACCGAGGGGCCCCTCCGGCCCCACCCACCCTGGACCACATTGAAATGGGTCTGATGTTGTTGTCAAACAGTACAGTGAGCAGGGCATCCATCCTATGAGCATCTCTGCAAAACAGCCACTTGAGACATTGGTGTAAATCAAATTTCTGACAGTGTGTTTTTATCATAATTAGATTATTTAGTCACATCAGAGTGCATGCATCTTCCAGTGCGCCTGGGAAACATGGGACTGCTGTTTCACGCATCTTTGTTATTCTTTCTCTTCACCCTCGTTCATACAGGTAAGTTTTCCTTCATTTGATTGACTAATTATGACTTAATTAGCTCAATGTGTGACTTGGTTTGCGCATTAAATCAGTGTAAGATTCACTCTGTGCGTCATGATGGTGTTGTTTGGTAGAAATGTGTTTTTAAATGATGGTTTAAATAAGATTAGAGTCCGTGTGTGTTTAAATTGCCCACTCCTGTGACAGCACCGGATGCAAGGTGATGGGGGAGGGCGCACTTATTCCGAGAATGTAGGTCATGCGCTCTCACCGTGACGCTTTCACTCATATTTACGCGTAATTTACCGTGAAAATCCTCCTGTTATCATGCTTTTTTATGGCTTATTATCTGCTTAAATCTTTGGCTGTTTTTGAATGCAGCCGCATGTTTTGTTTAATTGACCCGTTGTGCAGCCAATGAGCTTTGAGGAGGGTGAATGTGTAAAAAATGTAAAGCACGATTTTGAAAAAAAGCCGGTTTTTGCAGCCATTATATTATAATGTGGGAAATTGGCTCCACTTGTATATAAATCAGTGTAGAGGAAACACTTCTATCCTAGATCTACTGTATTCCTCCTATACATGATGCAATGTGCAGCCTGTTTGCACCTCCCATCATGTGTGTCCTGAAACGCCCTATACTGTGGAAATGAATAGAAGCCCTCCAACTCATGCTCCAACACAAACACTCAGTGTGTCTGCCAGCATTCCTCCAGCTCTGGTTGGATGTGAGTGTCCGTCAGACCTGTTCTGTTCCCTGTGTGTGTCGCTTCTGGGAAACGGTGTGTGTGGTGAAACATGTTGCAACTGATTGTTGTCACCTATGACCTTTTTTCTCACAGACATGTGTGGCAATGAAACGTGTCCCGTTTCCATGTTGGGAAAAGGTCGCCTCCCACACATGTCTGGGCAGAGGAGCAGTGTCTGATGTGGTTTTTAGGAATGTTTCATCCACTAAATGATGATTTGCAGATAAGCTACTCACCTTGGGAAACCTTGAATTTGGAAAGTTGAACTAATAGTCTAAAAACTTACCAAATTCTTGCTGAATTGAAGTAATTTAGGGCTGTTTTCACCAGGAAAATCACATCATAACATCCCTTTACTAAATCTTACCCAACTTAATATAAATGCAGTATAATTGCAGTGTTATAAAAGTCTCATTTATCCAGTTTTCTAATGTGTTTACACTCAAACGTAAGATTGAATACACTTGAAAGTAGCGTGCCTTTGCAAACAATGATCAATTAAATATTGTATTGAAATGCATGTGTTTGTGAAGTAACGTACGACTGGATAAATGATTGATCTCCGCACGTCCTGAAGTTTTCTTTATAAGTTCAAGGTGACTCATATAGAAATACATTTTGCAGGTGAAGTTTTCCTTCTGTCAAATTCATCTTAATAACTGCACAAAATGGCTTAAATAAAAAGACAACAATATTGATGGATTGATTCGTTGAACACTGTGGGGGCTAGTTTTCCTCACAAATTCAATGTTATTGATATACAAATGCATTTTGGGGGAAAGTATTACTTTAATCTCACTTGGGGGCAACTTTCTGGCTTTGAGAAATGGTTCTAAAATACACAATATTTAAGCCTCCAGTCGCTCTTTCTGCTCGCCTCAAGGTCAATGAATGAAAAGCTTGAGACGTCACAGATTGGGCAACAAACAAGAGCAGATTTGTGATTTGCCCAGCATGGATTTGTCCTGGATCGATAACGCTGACATTTTGTTGTTCAAGGACTGAACCTGCTGAGCCCGTTGAGTACACACCGAGCGTGAACGTGTGTTTGGTGACGAGGCTTCAGGGAATATAACTGATCTATTGAGGGACAAATCCACTCTTGCAGGAAATTAGAAGATAGAAATCGACCTGAGTCGAACCGTTTGAGGGTTTTATACCATCTGTTTATTTGTATTATTACCCTACAAGGATATCCTCTTGATTAGAGCCGGTTTATCAACATCAAGCTGATGACTCTCTTTAAGAAGCAATAACACACACCCTTTCACATTGAGTCATAAAGATATCATGGCCAGATTTCATTTCTTCACTGCCACTAGTAAGCCTACTATTTGATTTGTTTTAGATAGGCACAACATGTTTCATATGCAGACCTTATTTTCCTGTTCCATGTTCAAATAAACCATTTTCAGTGGTACGCTGAGAAAGAGTCGTGTTTTTGGTCATGGAAAATTAGGTAAAGGTCATGGAAAAGTCATGGAGAAGTAATTGAAAATCATTGGTGAAAAAGTGTATGAACCCTGACTTATGTAAAAAGAAGTAGGCAAATATAGTCAAAGTATTTAAACGTAAAAATGTAATCTAAAATAAATAGAAAAACAACACAAAAAATCTAAAATATTCAAAAATATATATGAGAAATATTTACATTTTCATAGATGTCAATTAATGATCACTCAATTGGATAGTTGATTATTAGACTTGAGCTACTCTTGTATGAACTGTTGTCTATAATATATATTGATGTGTGTTGTAATGTGTAAGTCTCAAAGTCAACTTTAATGTCAATTTTGTGTGTGTGTGTACAGACAGAGAGATCGAAATAACGTTTCCAACAATCCCGAATACAAAATACAATAATACAAATATGTATTAATATGTATATCCTCTATATATACAATCAACAGACACATTTACACATATGCACATATTAAGATAAAAAAAAGTCTTTGTAAGTTACTAGTAAAAGTACAATATTTCCCTTTAAATTGTAGTGCAGTTGAGGTATAAAGTGTTCTTAAAGTATGTTAAATGTGCATTTAAGTACAATAAAGTAGGCTAGATTAAATTAGATATACTTTATTGATCCCAAATTGGGTTTGTCAGACACAAAAAGTTAATATATATGTATCAGCAGTAGAAGAAAATACATATCAACAAGGAATACACAATATAACGTAAACACAGAATACATTAGAAAACTTGAATTGAGTACGATTATGCAATACTTGAGTAAACGTCCCTCACAGTCCTTCACTGCAGATGAAAACATGTCCTCCCACAGAAGCAGCAATAAAGCGTCCCTTTGTTTTGAACTGAAGCTTCGGCCATGACCGACGGCAGCAGACGTTTCACGCCAAACTGTTATTATGATTTATTGTGCTGTCAGCCAGTCAGAGCAATGCATAATTCATCATTTTTACAACCTATCACAAAGGACTATGAAAACATACACATAAATACTTCATTGGAGTTAGAATTAAAAAGCGAATCCTGCACTTAGTGAATCAGACTATTTGATCGATGCTAATGGATAGCTGCTAAATGCTTCAGTTGTAAACACCTCCTCCTGCACCTCATTTCTCAGGAGCAGGTGGCCGTATGGGGCCCCGGGGCCAGAGGGAGGAATGAACTCTAGTAACCCTTTCATGAGGTGCTGTTTCCCTGATACACAATCTAATTACTCCTTCTGGTTCAGAGGCTTCATCGGGGTCCATTAAAGATGGGGGGATGTTGTGTTTACACTCGTGTCGAATTACGTGAATTTCTGCCAGCAGGAACCATAAAACCTGGAAATCCAAACAAAGCAGATTTCTGTTATGAAGCTGCCATATCAGCAGCTGCCTGATAACGGGCTGATACATGTGGGTTTACATTCAGAGAGTGTCCCTGTGTGACTCCCAGCTCAACCATTCATCCGCCCTCGTTAAACAACATCCTACAGGCACGTGTGTGTGTGTTTGATCACGTGTGTAGGAGTGTAGTAGGAGTATTCAGATTAAGTCAAAGTACTAATACCACACCTTTAAAAGACTCTGGTACAAGTCAAAGTCTTGCGTTGGAAATGTAACGTAAGTAAAAGTAAGAATCGTCAGCATTGAGGGAAAAGTGCCAAATGCAGAGAAATCCAGAAGGAATTGAAATAAACACTATAACTTTTAGTAGCATTAGCTGTTATTCATGACAACATTGCAAACAGATTGTTTTGTAAGGAAACGCAGGTGCCGTTAACTTCCATTCATCAAAAATCTTCTCCATTTTTGGAGAGAATAACAACGTTTTATAGCAACTTTATTTGGATTAGCTGTGATTTGTTTGATGAGACAAGGTTTACGTTCAAAACTAATATTTTGAATTTGTTTTGACGTTAAACCACAACTTCCGTTTCATCACGAAAGGTTGAAGGCATGCGAGAATAACAACGTTTTCTTCATGAATTCAATGTACCACTGGATGAGTTATAGACATATATTTTAGTGCTGAAGAACTTATTTAATAGAATTCTGCACAATTATTTTCCTATGGGTCTTTTTTCATGGACAGCCAAATCACTTAGGAAAGAGTGAACAAAGAACTACAAAACAACATTTCTTTTTTTATTAGCTCCGGGTATCGACATGAGACAACATTAGAATTTGTGAACCTGAGGATTTGATATTGTTTTGTTGACGTTTCCTTTTGCTTCCATTCATCAAGAATTCATGCAAAAGTTTTCCTCATGAATTCAATGTACCACTAGACAATTAATAGATATTCAAATTGTCGTTTGTTTGGTTTAAAACTACTTGAATAGAGTTCTGCAGAATGATTATCCCCACCTTACTTTATCTCATGTGCAGCCATACTGTGTATATGAGGACTCCTCCCTGATGAATGATAACTCAAACAATAAGCCTTGGTTTAACTGTGTGTTATTATTTCTCTGTTACAGATACATTGACGACATGTGGATCCGATAATTTCCAGTGTGGGAACGGTAAATGCTTGCCGGCTCGATGGGCGTGTGACGGCATGGACGACTGTGGAGACGCCACTGATGAACTTCCTGCTACCTGCAGTGAGTACACTACAAAAACTCAAAATCTTGCCCAGTATATGTGTCTAATATCTAGTCAGAATATGTCTTTCTTTACACCTGATATAAGTTACAATAACTTCAGAAGTGACACTGCAGTGAGACATCAGGTCTTGTTTGTAGACATCTTGTTAAGTCAAAGAATCTTATTTTGAGTTGTATCTCAGAAGAAACTTATTTTTTTCACATATTTATTGGAAAATCACCAACATCAGAAAACAGAAAACTTTTGAGCATTTGCGGCTCATTTTGTAACACGGCATTTCCTGATTCTGGTAAAAGATAGTTCAAAATAAGTTTACTTTCTACTTCTTACATTTTGAACACAAATACCTGTACTTTCTACTTCTTACATGTTGAACACAAATACCTGTACTTTCTACTTCTTACATGTTGAACACAAATACCTGTACTTTCTACTTCTTACATTTTGAACACAAATACCTGTACTTTCTACTTCTTACATTTTGAACACAAATACCTGTACTTTCTACTTCTTACATGTTGAACACAAATACCTGTACTTTCTACTTCTTACATGTTGAACACAAATACCTGAACTTTCTACTTCTTACATGTTGAACACAAATACCTGTACTTTCTACTTCTTACATGTTGAACACAAATACCTGTACTTTCTACTTCTTACATGTTGAACACAAATACCTGTACTTTCTACTTCTTACATTTTGAACACAAACACCTGTACTTTCTACTTCTTACATGTTGAACACAAATACCTGTACTTTCTACTTCTTACATGTTGAACACAAATACCTGTACTTTCTACTTCTTACATGTTGAACCCAAATACCTGAACTTTCTACTTCTTACATGTTGAACACAAATACCTGTACTTTCTACTTCTCACATTTTCCAAACAGGCTGGTTCCTTTAGTTTGAATGTGTGTTTGGTGGCGTGATCATTATTCTTTAGAGTCATTGCGTGCCTATTGATTTGAACACGATCCGTGTATCCATCATTTCCTGGTCTTCTCTAAAGAAGAGGGACCAATGAAAACGTTGTCATGTTGCCGTTGTTCAGCATGGAAACATTCATTAGCTAACAATGACATTATTGTTCTATTAATATAAAGGGAGGTCAGGTACTCTTTAAAACAGCTGCTAGTTATGGGTACTTTTTACTGAAGTACATTTCAAAGCCCTCTTTACTTTTACTTGAGTAAAGAAGTTTAGTCAGTACTTATACTTTTACCAGAGTATTTTTAAACACGAGTATCTGTACTTCTACCTGAGTAAAGGATGTGTGTACTTGTACCATCTCTGATCTTATCTCTGTTGTGATTTCAGTGACTAAAACCTGCAAGCCGATAGAGTTCAGCTGCACGGACCGTCTGAACCAGTGCATCCCGGAGAGCTGGCACTGTGACGGGAAAGCTGACTGTGAGAATGGAGCTGATGAGGAGAGCTGTGGTGAGAAGAGTTAACTACAGGGGGGAGAAGAAGAAGAAGACCACACATCTGTCTCACTGTTCTTTCAAATGTGATTTATCTTCTTCGATTGCTCTCAGAAACCACAGCTTCTTCTTTCCTCCCTTATCTGAAGTATTCCTGGTCTTTAGTTACTCTAATTGCCCTGTTTCAGATAAGATAAGATATACTTTATTGGTCCCAACTTGATAAGGACATATGTTGGTCGTGTTAAAAATAAAACGGAAGTTGAAGTTGTGCAGTAGTGTAGGGATAAAGGATTGTTGTTGGCCCACCCTGAAGTTAGCATCTCCATGGTTCCCTAAAAAAAGCCAATTGTATTTCTCAATGCTAAGCTAAAGGCGGCTAATGTTGGGCGTGATGACGTTTAGTCGTCTCATTTAGACTCTTGATAGCAACTGCGTTTTTATATTCATCAGTGGGGTATTTACTGAAGTATTTTATGTCATAGAACAAAACGTTAAAATCCTAAAACGTTAAAAACCCAAAACCCATTCAAAAAAACATTTGAAACAAGCTAGCCAAAAATGCTAAAATGCTGACTTGTTCCCATGTTTTAGGAGTCATTTCTTGACCACTTCCTTCACCGAAAGACTTCCTTATATCCAATGTCTCTTCTCTTTTTAGCGCCAAAGCTGTGCACGAACACAGAGTTTCGCTGCGGGAGTGGTCAGTGCGTATCGTCGTCCTTCGTGTGTGACGATGAGGCGGATTGTGACGATGGCAGTGATGAAGCGTCCTGTCCGCCGGTCACCTGCAGCCCGGCCTCCTTCCAGTGCAACAACACCGTCTGCGTGCCTGGTCTGTGGGCCTGCGACGGAGACATGGACTGCTCCGACGGCTCCGATGAGTGGCCTCTGAGCTGCGGAGGAGCGAAGACACCGGTTACTGTTCCCGCTCATCAGTGTTCGAACCTGGAGTTCCCCTGCGGCAGCGGGGAGTGCATCCACAGCAGCTGGAAGTGTGACGGAGGCGTCGACTGCCTCGATAGATCTGATGAAGCAGGATGTGGTGAGAGTCATAAGACAAGGGTTCCTTATTATGCAAATATTATGCAAAATCCACTTCTTCATGTCTCTTCTACATCAACATGTGTCCCCTCTTCTTCATGTCTCTTCTACATCAACATGTGTCCCCTCTTCTTCATGTCTCTTCTACATCAACATGTGTCCCCTCTTCTTCATGTCTCTTCTACATCAACATGTGTCCCCTCTTCTTCATGTCTCTTCTACATCAACATGTGTCCCCTCTTCTTCATGTCTCTTCTACATCAACATGTGTCTCCTCTTCTTCATGTCTCTTCTACATCAACATGTGTCCCCTCTTCTTCATGTCTCTTCTACATCAACATGTGTCCCCTCTTCTTCATGTCTCTTCTACATCAACATGTGTCCCCTCTTCTTCATGTCTCTTCTACATCAACATGTGTCCCCTCTTCTTCATGTCTCTTCTACATCAACATGTGTCCCCTCTTCTTCATGTCTCTTCTACATCAACATGTGTCTCCTCTTCTTCATGTCTCTTCTACATCAACATGTGTCCCCTCTTCTTCATGTCTCTTCTACATCAACATGTGTCCCCTCTTCTTCATGTCTCTTCTACATCAACATGTGTCCCCTCTTCTTCATGTCTCTTCTTCATCAACATGTGTCCCCTCTTCTTCATGTCTCTTCTTCATCACATGTGTCCCCTCTTCTTCATGTCTCTTCTTCATCAACATGTGTCCCCTCTTCTTCATGTCTCTTCTACATCAACATGTGTCCCCTCTTCTTCATGTCTCTTCTACATCAACATGTGTCCCCTCTTCTTCATGTCTCTTCTTCATCAACATGTGTCCCCTCTTCTTCATGTCTCTTCTTCATCAACATGTGTCCCCTCTTCTTCATGTCTCTTCTTCATCAACATGTGTCCCCTCTGTGTAAAGAGACTCTGAAAGTTTCAGGAACAAAGATTCTCTCTCTTTTTGTCCTGATCCATATATATAAAAACCTGTCTGAAAATGAGCTGATCAGATTTTGGCCACTTAACGATAACGATGTTTTGTCTTGTGTAACCATTAGCCAATCAGCAACCAAGGTAACCCCCCCCCCCCCCCCCACCTTATCACCTGAATCTCCTCCTAGAGCACCATTGAGTTCTTTGTAACCAAATCTCTCTCAGAGGGGCGTGGGGAGGGGCTCCTTATTTTCATCTAAAGTAACAGACAGAGAATCAGCACTTTGGAAACAGGGCTGAAACAGAGGGGATTATGGGATGCTGCAATGATCTGTTTGGTGTTTCAGCCAATCAGAGACATGTCCTGGATATATCTGAGACCTATAATATATTGATGAAAAACAGTATAATAGGCGACCTTTAAAACAACTATTTCTAGAATAATGTATCGTCCAACAAAAGCTGTTATCGTCACAGGCCTAGTCATTCGTTAATCATCTCTTGTAATCTAATTTCTACTCTAGCACCCACCACCTGTGCTCCCGATGAGTTTGAATGTGATGACGGTTCTTGTATCCACGGCAGCCGGCAGTGCAACCATCAATTCGACTGCAGGGACCGCAGCGATGAATTCGGCTGCGTCAACGGTACGAATCTCTCTTTTTTTTCCTGGATCCTAGCAACTCTATTCAATTCAATTCAAGGCTTTATTGTCATGTCACACACACACACTTTTTATATAATAATATGTAGGCCTATATATATTTTTATTTGCACGTTGTTGGCCTATCCAGTACGTTTTGTATTATGCTGTTGTGCCACATGTATTGTTTAGTGTTGATTTTTGTTTTGTTCTGTTATAACGCCTTGTGCAGAATGCTTTGACAATACTATGTTTAAAATGTAGTCATGCAAATAAAGCCCCTTTGCATTGTATTGTATTGTATACATAATCTGCAAGATGCAAACAGATGAATGTTATGGATTTTTCTTTCAAAAGTCCAGGTGTTTAACAGTCTGATGGCCGGTGGGATGAAACTGTCCCTGAGTCTAATGTAAACTCTAGTGTTTTTTTTCCATCTATAACTGTATGTCTTATATCCCAGCAACCCACTGTGATGGTCCGACCCACTTTAAGTGCCGCAGCGGGGAGTGTATTAGCATGGAGAAGGTGTGTGACAGGAACCGTGATTGCAGGGATTGGACAGACGAGCCTCTGAGGGAATGTGGTGAGTTCAGACGTCTGTCATCCATAACTGTCTGCTTGATTACTGCTTTTATGTTGAGAATGCTAGTCCTCGGAAAAGAAAGATGGTTAACCTTTCTTCTTCCAACTGCAGGCTCCAATGAATGCCTTTACAACAACGGCGGCTGCTCGCATATTTGTAATGACCTGAAGATCGGATACGAGTGTCTGTGTCCTACTGGATATAACCTGGTGGAGAAAAAACGCTGTGCAGGTAACAACATCCCGCAGTTAAACTTATATATAACCAGTAATGCATATGGTTTGTGGGGTAGAGATGACGTATTTATTTTAGGTTGAACCAGAACTTAGCATCACATTTTTGCAGGAAATAAGATCTGTGGCAAACACACTTTTATGATACTTACATGTTTGATTCAGCAGGATAATCTCCACATATTAACACCACGTTTATAATTGAAGCTAACGTTAAGATATTAAGGAACTACAGCACCGTCACATGACTTCACGTCACCACCGCTAAGCTAAAGGTGGCTAATGTTGGGCTATAAAGGAACTACAGCACGGTCACATGACTTCACGTCACCACCGCTAAGCTAAAGGTGGCTAATGTTGGGCTATAAAGGAACTACAGCACGGTCACATGACTTCACGTCACCACCGCTAAGCTAAAGGTGGCTAATGTTGGGCTATAAAGGAACTACAGCCCGGTCACATGACTTCACGTCACCACCGCTAAGCTAAAGGTGGCTAATGTTGGGCTATAAAGGAACTACAGCGCGGTCACATGACTTCACGTCACCACCGCTAAGCTAAAGGCGGCTAATTTTCGGCGTGATGACGTTTAATGGTCTCATTTTGAAATGTGTAAACAACCACCGTTTTTATGAGATATTGAAGCTTCGGACATTTACCAGTGGGGTATTTACTGACGCATTTGATGTCCTAATACACAAATCTCTTCAGCTTGAGTTAACCACAGACCTTATTTCAGGCAACTAACCCAAAACACAGATTCAGACAACCCTGAAATGCTCATTCATGCACCACTCTATTTGGGAACAGATTATCAAAACAGTGTTGCAATGTGCTTACTCTGACGCAACCTTTTCCATGTAACTGTCTGTGCTTCCAGAACAAGAGTATCTCTTACAGGAAGGATGACTCAGAATATTGTTTTTGTTACACCATGTGTGTTTTTTATTGAATGGTTCCCATCTTTTTTTTAATTAGACATCGACGAGTGTGCCAACCCGGACACCTGCAGCCAGATCTGCATCAACCTGGTGGGCAGCTTCAAATGTCAATGTGAGGAGGGGTACCAGGTGGACCCTGCAACCAAAGCCTGCAAGGCCATCGGTAAATATCAGCTGCTCTGTCCAGAGTGTATTTTACAGTAATGTGTAACAGTTCAATGATGAATAGCCTTCTTAAAGGTCTCCTATTATACTATTTTTAAGCATATATTATAGGTCTCAGATAAGACCTTGATATCTTTTGACGTTTTGTACGATACACTTATTGTACGATATATAGACATTACCTGGAAACCTGGATACTTTTTTATGTTTTCTACTTATCGTATGGTATATTGACAGGACCTTCATCTTATTTACATTATTGACTTATTCTACGATATATGGACATTATAACAAATCATTTTACTTTATTGGCTTATCGTATGACCTCAATCATTTCGTATCCGACTTATCATACAATAAATGGACATGACCTCGATATTTTGTATGCCTTCAATTCATTGTATTATTATATAAATAGCTTAAAAGGGTCCTAAAATTAATCGAACATAATTTAAAGCAACTATTTATTGGATTATGTATCGTCCAACAAAAGCCGTTATCGTCACAGGCCTAGGTCTCAGATATATACAAATATATAAAAAACATGTCTGAAGTGTTTTGCTCAAAATACCAAACAGATCACACATTCTAGCCTCATCCCCTCTATTTCAGCCCTGTTTCTAAAGTGCTGATTCTGGGTCCTTAGCTTTAAAAAAAAGATTTAGAGATTTGGGTACGGAGGAAAAGAGAGAGGGTTTTATTTTCTGACACTTTGTGAATTCTCTTACACATCGGGGACACATATAAATGTACATTTAGCATGATAGGAGACCTTTAAAGTATATGTTCCTAATGTGGATAATTGTTGGCAATGATGGGGTTAAAACTTTAACAATAAAATATGTTATGTTGTTGAATGAAAGGAGAATATCTGCCCTATTTCTGGCACCTAAACAAAAATAGCTTAGAAATGTTAATACAACGCTGTAGCAGCTGTTAGCACTTTTAGACATCTGTCCCTTTTTTAATATATAACATTTGGCAGGACCAATTAAGCTGAAATTAAGAAGAAAAAATATATTTCTATTCAATAGAAGTACACAAGACAAACCAAAAACACAGCCAGCATATATATGATTTCTAAGACAGCTAATCTCTTCTCTTCTTTGATTTTGTGTTTTTTCAGGTACAATCGCCTACCTGTTCTTCACCAACCGTCATGAAGTCAGAAAGATGACGTTGGATAAGAGTGAGTACACCAGAGTGATCCCCCGTCTGAAGAGCGCTGTGGCTCTCGACATGAACATGGCCACCAAAGACATCTACTGGTCCGACATCTCCCAGAAGAAGATCTACAGGTGAGATAAAAGGGCATCAGAATGAAGTAGAATCATTACATTCAGTCAGAGAGGGTACAAGTACACACATCCTTTACTCAAGTAGAAGTACAGATACTCGTGTTTAAAAATACTCTGGTGAAAGTAGAAGTACTGACTAAACTTCTTTACTCAAGTCAAAGTAAAGAGGCTTTGAAATGTACTTCAGTAAAAAGTACCCATAACTAGCAGCTGTTTTAAAGAGTACCTGACCTCCCTTTATATTAATAGAACAATAATGTCATTGTTAGCTAATGAATGTTTCCATGCTGAACAACGGCAACATGACAACGTTTTCATTGGTCCCTCTTCTTTAGAGAAGACCAGGAAATGATGGATACACGGATCGTGTTCAAATCAATAGGCACGCAATGACTCTAAATAATAATGATCACGCCACCAAACACACATTCAAACTAAAGGAACCAGCCTGTTTGGAAAATGTGAGAAGTAGAAAGTACAGGTATTTGTGTTCAAAATGTAAGAAGTAGAAAGTACAGGTATTTGGGTTCAAAATGTAAGAAGTAGAAAGTACAGGTATTTGTGTTCAAAATGTAAGAAGTAGAAAGTACAGGTATTTGTGTTCAACATGTAAGAAGTAGAAAGTACAGGTATTTGTGTTCAACATGTAAGAAGTAGAAAGTACAGGTATTTGTGTTCAACATGTAAGAAGTAGAAAGTACAGGTATTTGTGTTCAAAATGTAAGAAGTCAAAGTCAAAAGTCGTCAGAAAAATAAGTAGTGGAGTAAAGTACTGATACCAGAAAAATGTACTTAAGTACAGTAACGAAGTATTTGTACTGCACTACTTCCCACCTCTGCATTTAGTGTTTTTTTTTTACGCCTGCTTGACACCAGCTCTTTATTTTTTACCCAGAGCTCCGATGGACTCGGCTGAAAACCCGGCTGAACACAGCGTAGTGATCGGCAGAGACATGGACGCACCTGAAGGCATCGCGTTCGACTGGATCCACGGGAACCTGTACTGGACCGACAGCATCCAAAGCACCATCTCCGTGGTTACCGCTGATGGCAGCCGCCGAAAAACTATCTTCCGTCGAGATTTATCCAAACCCCGTGCCATTGTGGTCGACCCCCACAGCAAGTAAGTCCAACGATACTAAGAAAAGTGGTTAAATCCAATGTGATCAGATGCAAAAAACGCATAACGTCTTATCACCCAGCATGACGTTTACAGGGCAGGGCAGACGAGGACAAGTACAGGGTTAGAAAGAGAATTTACACAGTATTTTAAATAGCCATATACCTTACATTTTGTTTAAATAATAATAGCTATGATAATGTATTTCTTTATTGATTTTCATTGGAATTGTCTGGCAAATAGTTTTAGGATCTGCAGCCAAATTGATAAATATTTTTTAATGTTATTATAGTTTTCTTAAAATAGTTTTCTCTCTCTGTGTCTCTTCTGATTCTGATATAATGCGATGTTACGAGGTTTAAAGGACATTTCAGGTGTTTCTGTGAGATCATGCTCCCTAAATCCTTCCAAGACTCTCTGTTGTTTACAACGTTTATTTTAACCACATATCTGTGTCCTCCCAGCTTCCTTTACTGGACCGACTGGGGGAGTCCCGCTAAGATCGAGAAAGGAGGTTTAAACGGAGGAGACCGAACCGCTCTGGTCACCGACAACATTGAGTGGCCAAATGGGATCACAATCGGTAAGATCTAGTGTTCATGTCTCTCAGGTTTCCAGTAGCTTATCCACATGCATACCAGGGATCTGACCTATTGACAGAGGTGGGAAGTAGTGGAGTACAAATACTTTGTGACTATACTTAAGTACATGTTTCTGGTATCAGTACTTTACTCCACTACTTATTTTTCTGACGACTTTTTACTTTGACTTCTTACATTTTGAACACAAATACCTGAACTTTCTACTTCTTACATTTTTAATACAAATACCTGTACTTTCTACTTCTTACATTTTGAACGCAAATACCTGTACTTTCTACTTCTTACATTTTGAACCCAAATACCTGTACTTTCTACTTCTTACATTTTGAACACAAATACCTGTACTTTCTACTTCTTACATGTTGAACACAAATACCTGTACTTTCTACTTCTTACATTTTGAACACAAATACCTGTACTTTCTACTTCTTACATTTTGAACCCAAATACCTGTACTTTCTACTTCTTACATTTTGAACACAAATACCTGTACTTTCTACTTCTTACATGTTGAACACAAATACCTGTACTTTCTACTTCTTACATTTTGAACACAAATACCTGAACTTTCTACTTCTTACATTTTGAACACAAATACCTGTACTTTCTACTTCTTACATGTTGAACCCAAATACCTGTACTTTCTACTTCTTACATTTTGAACCCAAATACCTGTACTTTCTACTTCTTACATGTTGAACACAAATACCTGTACTTTCTACTTCTTACATGTTGAACACAAATACCTGTACTTTCTACTTCTTACATTTTGAACACAAATACCTGTACTTCCTACTTCTTACATTTTGAACACAAATACCTGTACTTTCTACTTCTTACATTTTCCAAACAGGCTGGTTCCTTTAGTTTGAATGTGTGTTTGGTGGCGTGATCATTATTATTTAGAGTCATTGCGTGCCTATTGATTTGAACACGATCCGTGTATCCATCATTTCCTGGTCTTCTCTAAAGAAGAGGGACCAATGAAAACGTTGTCATGTTGCCGTTGTTCAGCATGGAAACATTCATTAGCTAACAATGACATTATTGTTCTATTAATATAAAGGGAGGTCAGGTACTCTTTAAAACAGCTGCTAGTTATGGGTACTTTTTACTGAAGTACATTTCAAAGCCCTCTTTACTTTGACTTGAGTTAAGAAGTTTAGTCAGTACTTCTACTTTCACCAGAGTATTTTTAAACACGAGTATCTGTACTTCTACTTGAGTAAAGGATGTGTGTACTTTCACCATCTCTGACCTATTGACCCCCCTCTTGTGTCTCCTCAGACCTGTTGAACCAGCGGCTGTACTGGGTGGACTCCAAGCTGCACACCCTCTCCAGTATCGATGTGCAGGGCGGTGGTCGACGCACCATCATCCTGGACGAACACAAGCTGGCTCACCCTCTGGGCCTCACTGTGTTTGAGGTGGGTGTTTACCTCCTGATAAACTCTGTTACCCATAAACCCAGAGCTGTGAAATACCACATGGCCCCTCACTGCACGTGTAAACAGTCGTATAGAAGCCGGGTTTGACCTTATTTTAATGAGTTTAACAGCTCCACAGCTTATCAACAACTTAGGTTTCCTCCTCGGTCTTGTCTCTCAGTATCCAGATGTTAAAAATTAGGTACTTTCATTGCATGCATCCCCAGTATTGGCATAGTAGCGTTGTCAAAGCGTTAAGGCCATATCACCTGTTGTAAATTATATAATATAGCACCTTATAACTTGTTGTGTAGGGATGACACTTGTTAGCAACCGCCATTTTAGAGACACATATAAGGTTCAGACATTCACCAGTGGTGTATTTATTATTCTTTCTTAAATACTTGTCTTTAGCGTCATTGTTTAATGCTAAATTGTTTTTATTATCCTTATATATTTCTTCTTTTACCGACTTTGCAACTTAATTTTTTAGATTGTTTATGTTCCCACCACCAGATACCAAAGCAAATTCCTTGTATGTGTAAACGTATCTGGCAATAAACTTGATTCTGATTCCTCTCACTACTCCTGCTGTGTCCCCAGTCACTTTAATAGTTGTTTTTTTTGTCTCTGCTTCTAGGAAAGAGTGTATTGGACCGACGTCAGTAACAATGCCATCTTCAGTGCCAACAGGCTGACGGGGGAGAACATCACAGCCGTGGCAGAGCACCTCTCATCCCCAGAAGACATTATCCTCTTCCATAACCTCAAACAGCCCGCTGGTGAGAGACACTCCTGGTCATAAAGGGCTTTTAGTTTGAATAACAAATCATTAGCGACCTTTTTTTATAAAACAAATTGAAAAGCACGACATTAAAAAGCAGGAAATGTTCCAATTTTTTTCCTCAACCCTCAAGCCTTTGTGTTAAGGCGTTGCAGAAAAAACTGAATGAGCAAATGTCCCTTAAAGGTCACCTATTATGCAAAATCCACTTCTTCACATCTCTTCTACATCAACATGTGTCCCCTCTTCTTCATGTCTCTTCTACATCACCATGTGTCCCCTCTTCTTCATGTCTCTTCTACATCAACATGTGTCCCCTCTTCTTCATGTCTCTTCTACATCAACATGTGTCCCCTCTTCTTCATGTCTCTTCTACATCAACACGTGTCCCCTCTTCTTCATGTCTCTTCTACATCAACATGTGTCCCCTCTTCCTCATGTCTCTTCTACATCAACATGTGTCCCCTCTTCTTCATGTCTCTTCTACATCAACATGTGTCCCCTCTTCCTCATGTCTCTTCTACATCAACATGTGTCCCCTCTTCCTCATGTCTCTTCTACATCAACATGTGTCCCCTCTTCTTCATGTCTCTTCTACATCAACATGTGTCCCCTCTTCCTCATGTCTCTTCTACATCAACATGTGTCCCCTCTTCCTCATGTCTCTTCTACATCAACATGTGTCCCCTCTTCTTCATGTCTCTTCTACATCAACATGTGTCCCCTCTTCTTCATGTCTCTTCTACATCAACATGTGTCCCCTCTTCCTCATGTCTCTTCTACATCAACATGTGTCCCCTCTTCCTCATGTCTCTTCTACATCAACATGTGTCCCCTCTTCTTCATGTCTCTTCTACATCAACATGTGTCCCCTCTTCTTCATGTCTCTTCTACATCAACATGTGTCCCCTCTTCTTCATGTCTCTTCTTCATCAACATGTGTCCCCTCTTCTTCATGTCTCTTCTACATCAACATGTGTCCCCTCTTCTTCATGTCTCTTCTTCATCAACATGTGTCCCCTCTTCTTCATGTCTCTTCTACATCAACATGTGTCCCCTCTTCTTCATGTCTCTTCTTCATCAACATGTGTCCCCCTCTTCTTCATGTCTCTTCTACATCAACATGTGTCCCCTCTTCTTCATGTCTCTTCGACATCAACATGTGTCCCCTCTTCTTCATGTCTCTTCTACATCAACATGTGTCCCCTCTTCTTCATGTCTCTTCTACATCAACATGTGTCCCCTCTTCTTCATGTCTCTTCTTCATCAACATGTGTCCCCTCTTCTTCATGTCTCTTCTACATCAACATGTGTCCCCTCTTCTTCATGTCTCTTCTACATCAACATGTGTCCCCTCTTCTTCATGTCTCTTCTACATCAACATGTGTCCCCTCTTCTTCATGTCTCTTCTACATCAACATGTGTCCCCTCTTCTCCATGTCTCTTCTACATCAACATGTGTCCCCTCTTCTTCATGTCTCTTCTACATCAACATGTGTCCCCTCTTCTTCATGTCTCTTCTACATCAACATGTGTCCCCTCTGTGGAAAGAGACTCTGAAAGTTTCAGGAACAGAGATTCTCTCTTTTTGTCCTGATCCATTTCTATAAAAACCTGTCTGAAAATGAGCTGATCAGATTTTGGCCACTTTATGATGTCATAACGATGTGTTGTCTTGTGTAACCATTAGCCAATCAGCAACCAAGGTAACCCCCCCCCCCCCCCCCCCCCTTATCACCTGAATCTCCTCCTAGAGCACCATTGAGTTCTTTGTAACCAAATCTCTCTCAGAGGGGCGTGGGGAGGGGCTCCTTATTTTCATCTAAAGTAACAGACAGAGAATCAGCACTTTGGAAACAGGGCTGAAACAGAGGGGATTATGGGATGCTGCAATGATCTGTTTGGTGTTTCAGCCAATCAGAGACAGGCTCTGTATATATCTGAGACCTGTAATATATTGATGGAAAATCAGTATAATAGGGGACCTTTAAAATTGTACCAGCTTTAATGGTAACTGTGAAAGTGTCTTCAATACATATGAAGCTAAACAAAATGTCATCCTCTTTTCTTGCAGGCAGGGATTGGTGCCAGGTCTCCGGCTGTGAATACTTGTGCCTGGCAGCTCCTCAAGTGGGCCGACACCCCCCCAAATACACATGTGTGTGTTCAGATAACATGATGCTAGCCCGGGATATGAGGTCATGCGTACCTGGTATGTAAATATACTGCACTATTATATCAAGAAAATATCTTTGTTAGATTAATTTGAATTTTGTATTTAGTTTTTTGACTCTCATTCCTTGTTCTTTACCAGCCGTGCCAACGCCTGAAGCTCCTGTGCAGCCTCAGGTTCCAGCTACAGACCCTCCTCGTCGCCCTCCAGTTCCAGCCAGCACCACACCCAAGACCCTGGTCCAAACCACCCCAAAACCCCAAATCCGTACCACAACTAAACCCCTGATTCGTACCACCCCAGTTCCCATTATCTCCACCACTGCAGCCAGGCCAGCACCACGCACCACCATCAAACCTCCAGTAAAGACCACCACCCCAGAACCAAAGATCCCGTCACCCAGGCCGGTGAATCCTAAAATCCCCCAGACCACCACAGGCGCTCTGGTGAATCCTAAAATCCCCCAGACCACCACAGGCGCTCCAGTCACATCTCCAGGTAGGTACCATAACAGTGGAATTGGTGAAATGTTTAGAGGTCAAATTGTGTAACCACTTTGTCGGAGCCATTTTCCTTTCATCATTATGGTTTAAATGTTTGTCTTATTAATATAAGACTTTAGAGTAAACTCTTAACTATTTATTTTTTTGAGTCACACTACGCTTTAAAATATGTTAATTTAAGTCTCACTTATTTGCTGTCAAATGTGCGCTGTCAGGTATGACGTGCATGTCAATTTGCCTATATATGGCATGACAATGGTACACAGCTGATTGTGATTAGACAGGAAGCGGTATAGTCTTTTGACGTGTTCTTTTTTGATACGGAGAACTTTTAGTTACTTTGAAGCATTGACCATTTTTACATAGTTTGTTTTGTTTGAGTGCCTTGTCCTTAGCTAGGGTTCAGTGTTACCGTTACCCCGACTTTAGCCGGACTTCAGCTGAACGGGAAAACCGCTGAGGTCCGACAAATGTAGAACTCTTTGGTCACAATGTTTGTTGAAAATAATAAGCTTAGTTTTGAAGTGTATTATAATGCCTTGATGAAGTCACTCGTCATGTAGCCTTCCTATCTGTTGTTTTTAAGCTAAATGATAAACATGGATGACCGCAATGTCCAGGACATTGTAATCCTCGCGGACATGGTTACAAAAATGTTTTGTGTGAAGTGCTGATCAGCTCCATCCACCATTAACTTCCTATCTTCCTATCTTTTTTCAGACATCCAACATAAATTTGCCACTGCTGTACCCAACACTGCCTCCACCACGCCGATAGCTCTGTATATAGCATTACCTCTGGGTGAGTTGCTTAGGAAGCTTCTGCAAAGGTGGCTCCTTCACAGAAACTACAAAATACTTTAAGTAATAACGCTACTAATGTCTAATCTTTCTCCCAATGTCTGCGTTCTTGTAGCGATCCTTTGTCTGGTGGCTTTTGGTGGCGTGCTACTATGGAGGAACTACAGGCTGAAAAACACCAACACAATCCACTTTGACAACCCCGTTTACCAGAAAACCACCGAGGACCAAGTGCACATTTGGAGGAGCAACAGCATTGATGGTTACTCCTACCCAAAAGTAAGTCTAGTTTGTCAATCTATATTACATTCTGGGTGAATTTAGTACATTGTGTTTGCTAAGTCTGACATCTTGTTTATTTGCTGTCATATCAGAGACAAGTCGTGAGCTTGGATGAAGAAGAGGACAATCCAACCTTCACAGAAAACTGAAAAAAGTCGTGCTGAGTGGAAAGAAGAGCCTTGATGATAAGCTACCTTGGACGTCCTTGTGTATTTTTTACCTGACATGGCACAAAGATATGGAATTTAAAGCCAGTCTTGAAACCACTATATCCTCACAAGCAGTGCCAAAAAAACCGGGTGAAACTTATTTTGAGGTTGCATATTTTTTACAAGGTTGACAATCCATTGCTGACACTATCATACCAAATCAACAGATTGTGAATTTCTCAGTCTAAATATAGTTTTTTAATCAGTTTCCAAATTGGGATGCTTATGATATAACTGAAAAACTGTGTCGCTAAAAGCCACATCGTGTCTTGTTTTGGGCTCAAAATATGCAACTAAGGAATTCCCTCTAATGTGTTTAAGGTACAATTCACGCATAAGTGTTAAAAATATCTTTGTGTATCACTTTTGTTACTTCATGGACATTTATCAAAGCTCATTTAATTTGTTTGGCCAGTTTCATGCCTTTATGGTAAATATAAGGCTAGCACGAGCAGACTGTTAGCTTAGCTTAGCTCAAAGACAAAAGGGAAAGGGCTAGCCTGGTGGGAATTGGATAGATGCTTATTGTACAGAATAAATAATCGAGATATAAATAAGTTATATTTAGCTTTATTGACTCGGTTTTGAAGGTTTTATTACCACAGCAAGGCTAGTTGTTTACATTTTCTTCCAGTCTTTGTGCTAAGCTAAGCTAACCAACAGCATCCACATGTTTAAGAAACATATATGTGAGCGGTATCAATCTTCTCGTCTGACTCTCGACTAGAAACCAAAATATTGAACTGTTAGTTTTATTATGAAGCTGCAACTAGGCGGCGATTAACTCACCTGTAAGACATGTCGCTTTTGTGTTTTTGTTTTCTGTACGGAACAACAAAAGTGAAAAATATCATGCATTATCATTAACATTAGGTGGTTTTTGCTACTATTGAACAAAGCCATGCTAACCCCTTTTCAGTCTCTATGCTAGGCTAAGCTAAGCTAATCGCCTTATGGCTCCAGCTCCATACTTAACGGAAAGACAATCTTCTTCTCCTCTCATCTAACTGTCTTCCAAGAAGGCGTGTATATTTTCCTCTTTGGTCATTGGACACAAGAAAAAATCTGAAAAAAACACTAGAGTGGGTTTTAAGGTGAGGTACATAATAGGAAGAATTCCACAAGTGCCAGTTTAACCAGTGTGACCTCAATAAGTCCCAATTATGTATCGTGTGTTGTTATGATTTAGTCGTTGCCTCAGTAGAGGAGCAAAAACACCATCCAAAGGGACCTAAAGACACTGCTGTGAAAACCTCAAAGAGTAGCACTGTGCCTTGATTTATGCCTCTGCGACGTCTTCAAATGTCGACATATGGTAAAAACAAAAATGATCTTCACCAGCTGCCTTATGTTCCAGAGTTTCTCAGAACCGTTTTCAGCTTCTGATTTGTGATGAGCTCCTTCCTCATGCGCCTCTGGGGAGGATCGTTGCATAACGTAGAGACTGTAACACTTTGATGAACCCACGTGTTACCAATGGGGCCAATGCTAACACTCTTTACCATGGCACGTGTATATTTATATCCTCCCTCGGGACCTGAACTTCACCTTTCCTTGAACATTCCTGATAAAAACAAGCCATGTGTTGGTGTTAAAAACATCCCCACCAGGTGTTTGAGCTCCTGTGTTTGTATCACTGACAAATGTGTGCCTTTTTTAATGAAATAATATGCTCACATGTTCATATTGATGCTATTGACCTCAATGGATATGTATGAAATCAATGTGTTTACAGTGACTTGTGTGAGCGATGTGGCGGTTTAACATACAGATGTTTTCGGGATGTGGTTTAATGACCATTGTGAGGTCTTAAGGTAGAAAACATCCATAAGTGCTGATGAACTTATTGTCATTTTACATCCACTGACTATCAGCGAGGATGAAGCATGTACATATAATGTTCATAAATGTAAATATTTGTTCTTTATTTTTTTTGTCAGTGTTTTAGATTTTGTTGTAAACTTTAAACCTTTTCTGTACATAAATAAATGCTTCTATTTATTATAGAATCACTACGGTCTGGATTTATTTATTGAAGACTGCTCTTAGCTAACTTTCATTGTTATTGTAAGCTAACCATTGAAACTGTTATACTTGAATTTTAGCTAACTGTTTATCTACTGTCTATTTGTTACTTTGGCTAGCTTCTTAATGGTTTTAGCTTTAGATTACTAGAACAACTGTTTATTAGTTAGCTATAGACAGTGCCGATTCTAGTCTATGGGGGCCCCTCGAACCAGCTTTTCGTCACCACACACAGCCGACAGCACAGCTGGGCAGGAGCTCCAACAAGCCGTTTAGGACAGAGAGTGAATACCTGGTGAATACACATACTTTACAGAGATGCTGTATGAGAAACCAATGTGAGTTTGGAAAATTGCACAATGTAAATCTATTCTAATAGACCTCAACAATGGAATTATGATCAGTAGAAATGGCCATGACATGGGACCTTTAATATAAGAAGCAGCATTTCACGGCGCGCTATGCATGGGGCCACCTTGAGGGGGTTTCCCGACGTGTCATTGCAGTAAATTAAAGGGTGTTTCATGTTGTCGTTGCTGTGGACCTTCTTAATCTACCTTCTTTGGGGGCCCCCTTCTGGTCCGGGGCCCCAAGCAGTTGCCTGCCTTGCCTGTCCGCAAGCGGCGGCCCTGGCTATAGATTACTACAACGACTGTTTGTTTGTTTGTTTGTTTGTTAGCTTTAGCTTAGTACAACAACCGTGTGTTTGTTAGCTTTAGATTACTATTAAACATTTTTATTTGTTAGCTTTAGATTACTACAACAACTGTTTGTTTGTTAGCTTTAGCTTGTTACTGCTACTTGTTACTCTTAGCTAACTATTTCAAATGTTTATTGTTTCATTTAGCTACATTTCCAACTGTTAGCTTTAGCTCTTTTAGCTAACTATTTCAAATCTTTATTTGTTCGCTTTAACTAACTATTACCACTGGTTATTTACTAGATTAAGAGGTTGTTCACAGAGACAAGCATGGAGAGTTTACTTATGGTGAATTTACCAAAGATCATAGGCTATATATAACACTGATTTTTAATCCGAATTTGGTAGTGTGTTTTCATCCTCTGAAACACAATTATGCCAATAGGCCTATATATAGAGTGGCGAAGTCACGCCCATCTACTTCCGCCCCATGGGACCTTATTTCGGAAAAAGTTATGCATTGAAGTCAATGGAGAGAGAAAACGTATCTTTCGATCCCGTTTGAATTGTGCCATGAATTACACATATGATGTTTGTCAATCTTAAAAAATAATTTCCATGTCAAAAAAGTCACAGTTTGTCGTAAAACTGTTGAAATATAAGACTATGAAAAATACGCAACTAGAAAGACTACAAATCCCAGATTTGTAGTCTTTCTAGTTGCGTATTTTTCTTCAAGTGATGTCACAATTGTTTTCCTCCACTAAGAGATAGCTAAGATCAGCGCCATATAGATATAATCTATCTATATGGCGCTGGCTAAGATAAGATAACTTTAACAAGATGCCTGTGTGCTTAGTACCAGGTTGTTATCATACCAGCAATGGGTCTTGCTCGTTCTTTCGCTTCCCGTCTGATGAAAGGACCAGAGTGTCTGGATCAAGCTAGCTAGTAGCTAGCACGTTAGTTAGCATTACAGCCTTGTCATTTGTATTAGCCTTAACATGAAGTAACATTAAGTAACCCAAAATGTTAAACAGTAAGAGTAGTAGTCATATTTCGTGAACCCTTTGAAGAGTACTGTCACACCGGTGTGATCATTCTATAATACACAATTTAAGCCCGGGGGAGAAATGCTAACGCTAACGCTAGCGATCTTCCCTACTTCATGCTATCTGCACAAATGGTTGACATTAAACATTAAAACGACCAGGCAGTTCAGAGAGAATCAAAGGAAGGCAGGCAGGCAGCTTTGCATGACATTCTTCAGGACGTGTTTCATTGTGGTGATAGTGAGGGTAGTCAATCGTTGTGTTGACAAGACAGTAGTGACGGCCATCTTGGTGACGTGTGTTGTTCTGTGAGACCAGAGATGTAGTTCATTGAGCGTTTCACACAAACAAATGTGTTACTTCACAGTTTTACGACACATTTTTTTTTTTTTTACTTGCAAAATTATCTTTTAGATTGACAAACAACATATGTGTAATTCGTGTAATACATGACAGCCGATATAGCTGACATCTAGAACATTTACTTTGACAAGCAAAAAAAGTTTTTTTGTAAAAATGTTTACTTACCAGACCACAATGAGCATCTCTCTTTCACAGGCAATGATAAATGGGAGGAGCTTGCATAACTTCTGGTCACGTGATTAGAACTATAAGGCGTTGCCTGGTTACAGGGGGTGGTTCAATTTACCCACTGGCTCAATTTACCCCCTTCTCCCTACAACCCAGTCTCACGGCATTTCGTGTTATAGTCACGAAATTAATGTAATCTATTGATTCGTGTTCACCAACACGATTTTCCCCTTTTTTTCGTGTCACACAGAACTATTTTAAAATCAATGTATTTCTATTGGTAGTATGTTTCGTGCCTGCACCACGTCTTTTTGTCCGGTCGGGTCTTGGAAGACCAGAAGCTGTGTGGTTCATAAAAACATTTTCTTACTCAAGAAAGCCTAACCCTATCCCTTTTATTTTATTGTAAGTCGCTTTGGATAAAAGCGTCAGCTAAATGCAATGTAATGTAATTTTAAATTGTATAATGTCGGAGTTTTTTTGCCGTCGAAAAGAAATGGGGCTCAGAGCCTCAGAATACTGAAATCTGTATTTTTTGTCATCTTTTTTTCCTCCTAATTTGTTATTATTTGGTGCAGGCACGAAACATACTACCAATAGAAATACATTGCTTCTAAAATCGTTCCGTGTCAGAATACTTAAATCTGTATTTTTTTAAATGTCTTTTTCCTTCTAATTTGTTATTATTTACATTGCTTTTAAAATCGTTCTGTGTGACACGAAAACAATGGCAAAATCGTGTTGGTGAACACGAATCAATAGATTAATTTCGTGACTATAACACAAAATGACGTGAGACTGTGTTTGATATATAGGCTATGTTTTAATCAAATCACAATAGCTTTTCCCAAGCCTTCCACCAAAATACCCCCTTGGGAATCACTGCTCTAAATATTATGACGTGTAAGAATTTAGTAGAACTCATGTTAAGTGAAAAAGTACAAATAAATGTTGTTTCTCAAGCATTTGTGTATTATCGGACCTTTTTTCCTTTATTACTTGTTATTGTCGAGGCTGGAGAGCAGAGTAGATAAGACCCAAGTGCAGAAGACAGTTTCTTTAAATCAAAGTCCTTTTTTGTTGGAAAATACACAGAAAGATCGTGACATAACAGGGGGAAACTCATACCGATCGTAACAGTTATCATGGGTGGTTTAAATTCTGCTTAAGGTATGTGGCGGAGACTTTCTTTGAACCACGTACAGCAGCATGTTCACTGTTTTCATTTAGCAGCTCTGGTATGCACACAAGTTAGGGGGCTGGTCTTTTTTTTTTTTAAAGGGGGGTCGGATGTTTTTGGGGAAAATTAAACCTCCTTCCTAGAAAGTCTGGTCGTCACAGGGTAAGGCGAAGCTACTCGGTTTCTTAGAAATTCTCTCCCACACAGTGAGAACACAGAAAGGAAAACTTACAACACTACGAGAGGGAACGTGACTCTGTTATTGTGTTCATTTGCTCATTAAATAAAAATATATAACCATGGGTTTTCTATAAAGATAATAACTTCTATACATAGTCTGAGTACATTAGGACATACTCCTCACAATTTGGTACATTTGCTTTTTACTTGCCATAGCAGAAGCATTTTTCCTTATACTAGAAAATAAACTTACAACACTACGAGAGGGAAAGTGACTCTGTTGTTGTGTTCATTTAAAGTCAGAATACTTTGACATTCGTTGCCATAGCTTTAATGAATACCGTGGTTATGTTTCCTCTAAATCCATAGTAGCTATAGGAGTAAAGCCACAATAACAGCCATCCGAGGAAAGAGGAAAGGCAAACAGCGTTCGGACCCTGCTGTCAAACCCACAAACAGGCAGGCCACGTGCAAAGTTCAAGGCCGAGAAGAGTGGAAGTGTGTAGCTGATTACACAAGTCAGGTATACACGTATGTAGACATGTGGGGAAACATGCATGTATGAAAACAAGGAGGTCTGATCCCATGTGGGGGAGATGCTGTAAACGTCTATTAGTACAACTGTATCCATAGACTTATCAGCAGAAGTACTCTTTACTTAAAGAGGACATATTATAATCATTGCCAGGAGTATATCAGTATGGAGTGTCTCTACTTTAAAGAGTCCTCTCCTGCTGATGTTCAGGTGTATATCAGTATGTAGCGTCTCTACTTTAAAGAGTCCTCTCCTGCTGATGTTCAGGTGTATATCAGTATGTAGTGTCTCTACTTTAAAGAGTCCTCTCCTGCTGAGTTTCAGGTGTATATCAGTATTTAGTGTCTCTATTTTAAAGAGTCCTCTCCTGCTGAGGTTCAGGTGTATATCAGTATGTAGTGTCTCTACTTTAAAGAGTTCTCTCCTGCTGATGTTCAGGTGTATATCAGTATGTAGTGTCTCTACTTTAAAGAGTCCTCTCCTGCTGAGTTTCAGGTGTATATCAGTATTTAGTGTCTCTATTTTAAAGAGTCCTCTCCTGCTGAGGTTCAGGTGTATATCAGTATGTAGTGTCTCTACTTTAAAGAGTTCTCTCCTGCTGATGTTCAGGTGTATATCAGTATGTAGTGTCTCTACTTTAAAGAGTCCTCTCCTACTGATGTTCAGGTGTATATCAGTATGTAGTGTCTCTACTTTAAAGAGTCCTCTCCTGCTGATGTTCAGTGTGTGGGAGAGGAACTCCCTGGAGGGAACACAGTGAAAGCAGTAATGGTGATGTTTGTGGTACAACTTGTTTTTTGTTAACACTGAGAAAGACATCTGTTTTTCAAAGAAAAGTTTCATCTGATCCCGCGACGTCATTAATCATTC